ACAAAGAACTGTACAGCACAGGAACAGGCCCTTCAGCCCACAAAGTTATGCCAAACATGATGCCAGATGAAACTAATCCCTTCTGCCTGCGCTTGGTCCATATCCCTCCATCCTTCACATGTTCATGTGCTTTAGATAGAATAAGGACCGCAGATGCTGGAAGCCAGAGTCTACAGGTGTGAGACTGGAAAAGCACAGTAGGTTAGACAGCATCAGAGGAGCAGGACAGTCAACATTTTGGCCCAAAACTTTGGTCAGGACTGGGAAGGGGATCCCAGAAATAAATAGAGGGAGGGGAGGTGGGGGCTGGGGAAAGGGTAGGAGAGTCGGTGGATGGAGGTGATGGGGGGTTGGGAGAATTGGGTATTGTGATCGGTCCGTGGGAAGGGTGGAGTGGATAGGTGAGTAGGAAGGTTAGGTCAGGGAGGTGAGGAGGAGGGGGTGGGATGGACATAGGATAAGGCGGGGGGGGGGGAGTCTCAGAGTGAGGCCAGACGTAAACTGGGGGAACAACACTTGACACTTCGCCTTGGGAGCTGACAGCCCAGTGGCTCTCAACATTGACTTCTTCACCAGCTTCAAAATCTCTCTACCCCCAGCCTCATCTCATGTCCAGTTCCTCCTCATAGAACATTACATAGAACATTACAGCGCAGTACAGGCCCTTCGGCCCTCGATGTTGCGCCGACCTGTGAAACCAATCTGAAGCCCATCTAACCTAAACTATTCCATTATCATCCATATGTTTATCCAATGACCATTTAAATGCCCTTAAAGTGGGCGAGTCTACTATTTTTGCAGGCAGGGCATTCCACGCCCTTACTACTCTCTGAGTAAAGAACCTACCTCTGACATCTGTCCTATATCTATCACCCCTCAATTTAATGCTATGTCCCCTCGTGCTAGCCATCACCATTCGAGGAAAAAGGCTCCCACTGTCCACCCTATCTAATCCTCTGATGATCTTGTATGTCTCTATCAAGTCACCTCTTAACCTTCTTCTCTCTAACGAAAACAGCCTCAAAACCCTCAGCCTTTCCTCATAAGACCTTCCCTCCATACCAGGCAACATCCTGGTAAATCTCCTCTGCACCCTTTCCAATGCTTCCACATCCTTCCTATAATGCGGTGACCCAGAACTGTACGCAATACTCCAAGTGCGGCCGCACCAGAGTTTTGTACAGCTGCAACATGACCTCATGGCTCCGAAACTCAATCCCTCTACCAATAAAACCTAACATACTGTACGCCTTCTTAACAACGCTATCAACCTGGGTGGCAACTTTCAGTGATCTATGCACATGGACACCGAGATCTTTCTGCTCATCCACACTACCAAGAATCTTACCGTTAGCCCAGTACTCTGTATTCCTGTTACTCCTTCCAAAGTGAATCACCTCACACTTTTCCGCATTAAACTCCATTTGCCACCTCTCAGACCAGCTCTGCAGCTTATCTATGTCCCTCTGTAACCTACAACATCCTTCTGCACTATCCACAACTCCACCGACTTTGGTGTCATCCGCAAATTTACTAACCCATCCTTCTACGCCCTCATCCAGGTCATTTATAAAAATGACAAACAGCAGTGGCCCCAAAACAGATCCTTGAGGTACACCACTAGTAACTGAACTCCAGGATGAACATTTCCCATCAACCACCACCCTCTGTCTTCTTACAGCTAGCCAATTTCTGATCCAAACCGCTAAATCACCCTCAATCCCATGCCTCCGTATTTTCTGCAATAGCCTACCATGGGGAACCTTATCAAACGCTTTACTGAAATCCATCTACACCACATCAACCGCTTTACCCTCATCCACCTGTTTGGTCACCTTCTCAAAGAACTCAATAAGGTTTGTGAGGCACGACCTACCCTTCACAAAACCGTGTTGACTATCCCTAATCAAATTATTCCTTTCTAGATGATTATAAATCCTATCTCTTATAATCCTTTCCAACACTTTACCCACAACCGAAGTAAGGCTCACTGGTCTATAATTACCTGGGTTGTCTCTACTCCCCTTCTTGAACAAGGGGACAACATTTGCTAGTCTCCAGTCTTCTGGCACTATTCCTGAAGACAATGACGACATAAAGATCAAAGCCAAAGGCTCTGCAATCTCCTCTCTAGCTTCCCAGAGAAGCCTAGGATAAATCCCATCCGGCCCAGGGGACTTATCTATTTTCACACCTTCCAGAATTGCTAACACCTCCTCCTTATGAACCTCAATCCCGTCTCGTCTAATAGACTGTATCTCAGTATTCTCCTCGACTACATGGTCTTTTTCCTGTGTGAATACTGACGAAAAATATTCATTTAGCACCTCTCCTATCTCTTCGGACTCCACGCACAACTTCCCACTACTGTCCTTGACCGGCCCCAATCTTACTCTAGTCATTCTTTTATTCCTGACATACCTATAGAAAGCTTTAGGGTTTTCCTTGATCCTACCTGCTGAAGACTTCTCATGTCCTCCTCCTCCTCCTCACCTTCCTGACCTGATCCACCTTTCCTACTCGCTATCCGCTGCACCCTTCCCACCGACCGATCACAATAACCCCTTACCCGCATCCACCATCTCCTACCCTCTCCCCAGCCCCAAACCGCCCCCTCTATTTATTTCTGGGCTCCCCTCCTCCTCCCCAGTCCTGGCAAAGAGTTTGGGTCCTGTTCCTCTGACGCTGCTTGACCTGCTATGATTTCCCCTCACACCTATACTCTCCATATCCATGTGCTTATCTAAGACTCTCTTAAATGCCCCTATCCTATCCTATCTGCTTCCAGCACCACCCTCTCCCCATCCCTTGTCTCTAAAAAAAAACTTGCCCTTCCCACCCTCCTTTGAACTTTTCCCCTCTCACCCTTAAATGCATGCCACCCGCCCCCCCCCCCCCCCCGTATTAGACATTTCAACTCGGGGGGAAAAAAAGATTCTGACCGTCAATCCTGTCTAGGCACCTCATAATTTTATAGACTTCTATCAAGCCTCCGGGAAAACAAGCCTCAGTTTTTTTTCTAGCCTTTCCGGCTTGGAAACATTCAATGTTTTGGCCTCAATCGCTTGCAGAGGCAGAGAATTCCACATTGCCTGGGTGAGGAAACCCCACTCATCTCTCTCCCTTATCTTTAGACTCCGAGTATCAAGCAGCCGTAAGGAGTTGCTTGGATCACTTTTCCTGCTTTCATGCTCCGTCCTTGTGCCCAAAAGCATGATTAAAAAAGAGGCTGTAAACAGGCTCCCGGTCAGCAACCTTTGATTAAACCCATTTCAGTTGCACAAAGTGGAAATTCCAAACGCTAAAAATAATACCGCAAATAAAAAAAAAACAAAGGAACGGGGATCCGAACGAGAGACTTTACTGGAAGTTGCTCAGTTGCATCGATTAGTCACCAGGACTTTCAGTCACAGAATTTCACTTTAAACGAAAGCAAGGGAGAGACACGCACACATTGCTGAGAGAGACAGAGAGAGGAAGGAACAGCCAGAAGTGGACAGAGAAACTGTAACAGGACATCCAGAACATGTGAGTTGGAAAGACTTGAATGATTCAGATGCGACAAATGAGAGAAAAAGCAATACATCAGACAGAAAGGAAGACTTTTTATTAAATAAGAAGGACGTTATAGACTCCACAACCCACTCAATTCAAACCCACATCGAAAGGGGTTTCTCAGAAGACCCAGGTTAGAGGTGAGTTATTCTATTCCTGCCTTTTAAGAGAATCAAGCATCACTCCAAATTAAGTGACTCCCCGTCATTGCCTCTTGGTGTTGGTGGTGGGGGGTGTGAGGGGAGACGGGGGTCTGACTTTGGAGTGACGTTATTAAAGGACAGATCCGTGAAATTGCAAACTCCGAAAGTTCCTGGAGAAACTCACCTTTGGTTGTCTCGAAACCGTTTTGGATGATGCTGCAGCCTGATGAAAAGGATTCATTCCCAAAGCCACTGTTCCGCTCTGGGGTATGTAATAAGTGTCTCAGTTTGAGGGGGAAGTGAATGTTGCCAGACTTGGGAACTGGCACAAACAGGACTGAGATGAAAAACCCACGGAGCGACACAGACAAGGCTGAGTGAGTGCAATTGGCAGAATTTTTTAATCAGTTAATGAACTGGAGGGTTTTGGGGGGAATAGACAGGAAGGTGGAGTTGAGGATATATCAGATCAGCCCTGATCTTGTTGAACGGGGTAGCAGGTTGGATGGGCTGAATGACCTCCTTCTGCTCCTATGCGTTTGACATCACCTCTGGGGGTTAGCAGCTCACATCGCCAATCAGATTGTGTGGGAGAGCGCTAGGGTGGCACAGCGCTTAGCAAAGCGCCAGGGACCTGGGTTCGATTCCACTCTCAGGCAACTGTCTGCGTGGAGTTTGCACATTCTCCCCGTGTCTGCGTGGGTTTCCTCCCACAGTCCAAAGATGTGCAGGCTAGGGTGGATTGGCCATGCTAAATTGCCCATAATTTTTAGGGATGTGTAAATTAATTGGTTTATAGGGGGATGAGTCTGGGTGGGATGCTCTGAGGGTCAGTGTGGATTTGTTGGGCTGAAGGGCCTGTTTCCACACTGTAGGGATTCTATGATCTAAAAGATTTGTGGTTGGATGCAAGCTGGACCAATCGCAGTTGGGCAAACGTTGTAAATAGTAACAGTTGCTGCACGGTAACAAACTCTCTTGCCTGAGGTCTAGTGACCCTCAGGCTAAAACCACGACCTCATCCTGAAGAAGGATCATACTCAAACTGTTGACTGCTCCTTCCATTCAGATGCAGCCTGAGCTGTTGCGTTCTTCCACCCCCTGTTTGTCTACAAGTTGTCTCTCTCTGAGAGACAGCATTCTCATGGTCTGGTAAGATTATGCTGACTTTACCTTTCATCTCATCCCAAACTCGAAAACACTGCAAAATCTGAGCCCTGCGTGGACAAAGCGGTTCAAATGTGTAATCTGCAGTTTTTAGGAAGCTGAAAGGGAGCTGTCTCAGCCTTTGCCCTGTTGGGTGTCTTCCGTCTTGACACTCACTTGTGACAAAAATAGCAAACATCAAAATTTGCAAAAGGGAAGTGGTGACAGAATGTTATTTTTCATTTTGTTCATGGGATCTGGGTGTCATTGGCTAAGGTCAGCAATTACTGCCCATCTAATTGCTCAGATAAGAGACAACTGCATCGCTGTGGGTCTGGAGTCACATGTAGGCCCAAGCTACCTAAGGACGGCAGATTTCCTTCATGAAAGGAAATTTTGCACTCCAGATAGGTTTTTCAATCAGTGATCCGCCAATGGCTGCCTTTTAATTCTAGATTTTGTTAAAAAAATTAACTTCAACTGCACCATGGTTGGAGTCAATTCCATGTGCCATGGTGGCTCAGTGGTTAGCACTACTGCCTCACAGTACCAGGGATCTGGGTTCAATTCTGCCCTCAGGTGACTGTCTGTGTGGAGTTTGCACGTTGTCCTTGTGTCTGTCTGGATTTTGTCCCACAGTCCAAAGATGTGCAGGTTACATGGATTGGCCATGCTAAATTACCCGTAGTGTCCAAGGATGTGCAGGCTGGATGGATTAGCCATGGGAAATGCAGGACAAGGTGGGTCTAAGTGGGATACCCTTCAAAGGGTTGGTGTAGGTGTGATGGGCTGAAGGGCCTGCTTCCACACTGTAGGGATTCAATGCTCCCAAACACACAGGTGGATTACTAACCCAATGACATCACTGCTTTGCTACCAACTTTCCCTAAGCCATCCTGTGACTTTATCTCAATTTTGATAAGACAAAATCAGGCAAGAAACCCTTGTCTAACTTTTCCTAAGAACTATAAACTTCCTTTCATCAGGATTCTATGACTAAAATGGGTATCAAGGGAGCTTTATACAATCCCTAATGTGTGGAACCAGGCCATTTGGCCCATCAAGCCCACACTACCCCTCTGAAGATCATCCAACCCAAACCCATCCCTGTCTCTGCATTTCCCATGGCTAATCTACTAGCCTGCACCCCATGGGGTAATTTAGCATGGCCAATCCACCCTAACCTACGTATATTTGAACTGTGGGAGGAAACTGGAGCACCCAGAGGAAACCCATGCAGACATGGGGAGAATGTGCAAACGCCACACAGACAGTCACCCAAGGGTGGCATTGAACCTGGGTCCCTAGTGCTATGAGGCAGCAGTGCTAACCACTGAGCCACTGAGTCCCCTCTGAAACCTAATTGCCTACTTTTCAGTCATCATTCCTCGCTCATTGTTGTCTGGTATGTTGGCCTTCCTGTAGTTGTGGTCAAAACTGTTAAAAATATTATTGGTGCTCCCACAGTCACACAAAATCAGAGTTGACCCAGACTTTGCAATGGCCAAGACGGTTGTTTGAGTTGTTTTACTAAGGACCATTACTGTTTGTCAGGGAGAAAACCCATTTGATTCGCTAATGTCCTTCAGGGAAGGAAACTGCTATCCTTATCTGGTTTGGCCTATATGTTAGATTTATTTATTTGTCACTTGTACTATGTAGAGGAATACATAAGTACAGTGAAAAGTGCACAAAGTTGCCATTGACTGATGCCCACTTGGTTCCAGATTTTAACTGAGCCAAAAGGTAAGCAAGAAGAAAAGAAAAATCCAGATCTCAGAGTCCCAAGTCCCCTCTCCACAATGTTGCACACCACTCCAATCGCTAGGAGTCCAGACCTGCATTCTTGACTCTTAACAATCCTCTGGGCAACTCGGGATGGGCAGTGCACCCTGCCCAGTGATGCCCACCTCCCATGAGGGAATTAGATATAGTTTTGGAATACGGCAAAAAAAAGAATCAAGCTGATACCAAAAAAGACAAATGAATGTTGGACTTTGCATAACTTTGGATTGAGATTGGGAATCCTCTACAGGGACAAAGAGCATGGCTGAGGTTCTAACAGAATATCACTGCCTTCATAAAAGGAGATGGTGCAATCAATATAAATGTAACATTAGAGGCAGCAGGGACATTAGATATGGTTACAGTAGACAAAGGGGAACTACTTAAAACTGCTGACAGCGCTGAGGGTGGAAATGTCACCCAGGCCAGTTAAGAATGCATCATATTTAATGGGCAAAGTATGAGAATAGGAACAGCCCTGGCCAAAAATTAACCATCTTCCTTCAAAATGTGGGCAGCCTCAGAGGCCTGAAAGATTACAAAAGTTAGGCAGTTGTTCACTCAAGAGAAATGAGAGGGATTTGTCCAGCGAGAACACAGCCTGTCAAACTGAGGTCATGTGGGTGGTGGAGGGAATTGAGAAAGGATAATTGCAACACAAGTTTAACTGTCTGTTAGTCACGTACGTGTTAGGACAAATGGGAGCTTCATAGTCTGGACAGGTTTCACCTAAATACTTGATAAATCTGACTTGATAGAGGTGTACAAAATGATCAGAGGTATAGATAGAGTGGACAGCCAGAGACTTTTTCCTAGGGTAGGGGTAGCTATTACGAGGGGGCATAGTTTTAAAGTGAGTGGAGGTAGATATAGGGGAGACATCAGAGGTAGGTTTTTCACTCAGAGAGCGGTCAGGGTGTGGAATGCATTGCCGGAGAGGGTGGTGGAGTTGGCCTTGTTAGGGGCATTTAAGCAGCTATTAGATAGGCATATGGATATAAGGTAGGGGTGGAGGTTAGAACAACCTTAGGTTTAGGGTAAAAGTTCGGCACAACATTGTGGGCCAAAGGGCCTGTACTGTGCTATACTGTTCTATGTTTTATGTTTGATGTTCTAAATAGAGCAGCAGGGACTAATTTATTTGCTCACATTATCAGGGAGGGGTTAAGCCAGAACAGAAATTGCTGGAGATACTCAGCAGCTCCGGCAGCATCTGTGGAGAGAGAAAAACAGAGTTAACTGGGTCCAAGGATGGTTTGGAGGGTATTAGCTCTGTGGAGAGATTGGACAAACCTGGTTTGTTTTGAATGTCGAAGGATGTGGGGGCACGTCATGGACTTGATACAAGTTTACAAAATTGCGAGTGGCACAGATAGAATGGACAGTTGGAGTCTTTCGCTCCCAGGGTAGAAATGTCAACAACTAAACAAAACAGCCTAAGAACTGCGGACGCTGGAAATCAGAAACAAAAGCAGAAATTTCTGGGAGAACTCGGCAGTTCAGAATAACAGTACTGAAGGAAAGGTCACAGGAGCAGAAATTTGAACTCCGCTTTCTCTCCACAGATGCTACCAGACGTGCTGAGCTTTCTCCAGCAATTACTGTTCTAGTGTTCGAAATGTCGATATATTTGGGGACATAGGCTTAAGGTAAAAAGGGAGAAAGTTTAAAGGAGATGTGAGGGGCAGGTTTTTTTTTATACAGAGAGTGGTAAGTGCCTGGAATGCACTGCCAGAGCAGGTGGTTTTGATGGATACATTAGCTACGTTTAAGAGGCATCTTGACAGAGACATGATTAGGCAGGGAATGGAGGGATACTGGCCACGGAGAGGCAAAAGGATTTTAATTTAGAAAGGCATCACGTGTAGGCACAGGGTTGATGGGCAGAAGGGCCTGTTCCTGTGCTGTATTGTTCTTTGATCTTTCTCCCTCTACCACCCTTACAGGCAGGGAGTTCCAGATTCCCAGCAGTCTCTGGGTGAAAAAGCTTTTCGTCATATCCCCTTGCCTTAAATCTCTGTCCCCCCGGTCATTTACAGAAACATAGAAATGGAGAGTTATCGGAA